AAATACTTACGCCAGGTGACTTTTACTACATACATTATACTATTTCCACTAGATACTACATCCTGACATGTTTTTACAACATTCTGTGCGATGACCTTTTTTGCGAAAAAACTACATACGATAGTATGACTTTTTTCAATGGCACAACACAAAATGAGATTTAGAAAAAAAAACTCCAGTCAGGTTTTGTTTTTTCTTCCACCCTTTGTGCCTTTATTTGATAGTACAGTGAGAGAGACAGGAACATGGGGGAGGAAATGCAGGAAAGGGCCGTGAGCAGGACTCGAATAGATGACCTCAACATCAGGACTGCAGCATTGTTCATGGGACGCCAGCTCAACCAGGTGAGCTATAGCAGCGCCTCAAAAGGGGGACTTTTACTACATATATTATACTATTTCCACTGTATACTACATCCTGACACGTTTTTACAACATTCTGTACGATGACCATTTTCACGAAAAACGACATACTATGGTATGACTTCTTTTTTTGTTTTTTTAGTCCCAAAACACAAAATGATTTTTTTTTAAAAACAAAAACTAAACTCAGCACCTCACATGCTGCTCCAGTAGATGCTCCCAGGTGTCTGCTCCTCTGACAGGTGAGCGACCAAACATTTGTTGGACAACAGTGGAAAGCGATTTCTAGTTGAAAAGTTTTCTATGAGCAGAGTTTTTAATGAACAGACGTTTCTATGAGCTGAGTGCATCTTGAATGTCCAGACCACTGGCCATCATGTGTACAGAGGCAGAACTGTGATCGCTGTTAAAACGTGAACCTTCCAGACTGAATGTGGGCCGACTCTTTGTTCCTGACTGACTCAGTGGAGCTCTGTCTGCCTGCACCTGAACACTTTAGTCATCAGGTGTGTCTGAGAGACTGAGTCAATGAGGAAGAAATTGGACTCACAGTACCTGGAGCAGCAGCTACCTGAGCCGACAGAAGCAACCAGATCAACCTGATGACCATCGTTCACTCGCACCACGAGACCACGTGTTAGTTCAGCTGCACACGCCCAGCTTCTCCGTAGACTCCTCGCAGGTCAGCACAAAGGAAACGATCTGAGAGTACTCGTTCCCAATGTAATGCGATGACTGTAATACAGGTGAAGTGTTTTTTACCCGGTGATGGTAGCCAGACTTGTAGAGGTGCACGTTCCGTGATCTACCTACGCACTCATCCCCTCGGGGACACTTCAGAGAGTAACTCCACACTCCAACAGGGCGCCACACAAACACGCGGCTCCGAAAAAAGAGCTGTGGAGTTGGAGGCCCACCTCTGATGTAGCCTGGAGGTTCTGGTGGGTAAAACCACATGCGGTCAGACTTCATCACCCGCCGCCTCTTCAGCAGGCCCGTGACGTCCTTGTACATTTGTACAGGGGTGAGCAGCCCTCGCTCTGTGTCCTCTTTTATCCACGATATGTCGGCAGATGGGATGCCATTGGGATTTTCCCACAGACGCACCCAACCCTCCAGCTCCACCTGGGACACATTTGACACATACAAAACAACATTTTATTGCACAAAGTCATGTCAAACTTTTGAACCACCTCTAGACTGATTGCATATAATGTGAATATCACTTACAGGAAAGTCAGGCGATTCCAGTGGAAAATCATGACCCTGGCTTGTGGACAGGGACACTGTTGGCTGGCTGGTGGACTGGGAAACTGTGGGCTGGCCAGTGGACGGGGACTTGTGCTTGTGTTTCTTGTGTTGCTTGTGCTGCTTGTGTTGCTTGTGCTGCTTGTGCACCTTGGGCTGCACAGTGATCTGTGCAGTGGGCTGGACGGCAGGCCGAGCAACAGGCTGAACAACAGGCTGGACGGCAGGATCAGGCTGCTTTGATCTGATTAAGTCTGAGAATATACCAAACAAGGCAATTTTGTATTGTTAGCATTTTTTGTTATAAAATAAATAATGTTTGATGGTCAGTTGCTTTGTCTCCTGCTTACCTTCCACAGACTGGCATGGAACTATTAGTTCTGCGTCACCACCAGACCATGGTGGAATATCATATTTGGAGGTGCTTGCCAGAAGTTGCTGAACAACAAATGTATTGTAAATATTTACATTTTATGACATATCAGGTTTTACTTACCAACAGCAAACAAGCAGAATGTGCTAAAGTGATTAAAAGATCAATAATGTGAATAACTCTTATTTACTTTGCAGTTGTGCTCTTCTGTGTCACAACACTTACTTGCTCCTTGTCATGAATATACTGTCTGAACCTTTTCATCTGCACGCTGGTGATGTGGGTCACTGGTGTGTGCAACCACCTCCTCACAGAACTGTATGCCTGCTGTATTCTGTCTCTCTGCTCAGTGCTGAACTGCTCTGGTCTGTCCTTTTTGGCGGTGTACTGGCTGTACAGTTCCCACATCTCCTGAAAGGTTTGAATCTCAAACTCTCTCTGACCGTAAATACACCTGTCAACGTTGACCTCGAGGACTGTGGACACTTGTTGGAAGCTCTCTGTGGACTCTGCCAGGTAGTCTTTGACCCACTGATTTCCTATCTCTCCCTTTCTCTGTGGGTTCCTGCCCTCTGCTCTGTGCCTGTCCAGTATGCTGTAATCATATTAACAGCTTAGTACAGTCATCATTGCTGCAATTGTGATAATAAGTAAACGAGTCCTAATCACTGAAAACAGGCCTAGATGTGTGAACAAGAGATTTACAGGTAGTCTATTATAGCATGACAATATTATGATGTTTTATATTCTTAGCCTACAATGGTATCAAATAATATATACTTACTACTTCATGTAGCCCACATCATTCGCCACAAGCCAGTGGAATGGCACGTTCATGTATTGCCCAAATGGGACCACCAGATTTCCAAGGCACAGCTGGCGTGAGGGCATGGAGACACCCTCTGCTCATAGGAGCCTCTCAGTGTGAGCCAGGGCTGTTGACGGGTTCAGCAGTTCCTGCAGAGGTTTGGGGAAGGCCATCCGTCTGTCACGATAACACCTTGCCTCCTTAGTTGCCACCAGTAGGGCCTGCTGTCGGTCTGCAGGGGCCCCTGGATTCACTACTTGAATGACTGGGGTCGCCATCTTCANTTAATGGACACCCTGCAGCCAATCAGAATCGAGTATTCACCCAGACCATGGTATAAAGAACAGTTTATGAACAGTAAAGTCTCGAATTATTTTACACTAGACAAAAGTGATATGGGCAGACACTTGACGAATTTGTTTTTACCGTAGTAGCGAGTATATAATAAAACTTTTGCAACTGTTGACAACTTGGGTCTCCGGTTGACAGATTGACACTTTTACAAATGACAGTTTGCTAATGAGCTAGCTACGAGCTGTAACGTTACCTTTCGGAAGAACTCTCGATGAGCTAGTTGATGTCCCTCAAACAAACCGGCGGGTGAAGTCTTGAATGATGAGAGGAGACGCTGGAAAGTGTTCGAAATTTTCTCCAAATACACCAAAAGGTCGCTTTGACGCGCGATTCGAACGACTTTGTTTACGTTGCTAAGGCAGACGGCAACGTCCAGTTCTGACATCCGATTGGTCGTCTACAGTCAGACGCCCTCTGATTGGTCGAGAGTCTACAGTCGCTGGCCATTCCGAAGGCCTAATAGTCTACAGTCGCCAGTCGACCACGTGATTGGTCAGCGACTGTAGACTCTAGATCAATCAGAACGCCCAACTGTCTACAGTGACTGTAGAGTTTGCACTTCAGTAGACACGAGTTTTTGTGTTTTTTTCGTCCGTCCCATTCATTTTCAATGGGAGATTTTTGCGACGTTTTTGCGAATTGTGTCGCGAAAAATGCGATTTTTGTAAATCTGTATGTAAGCACACTTGTCCCGATCGAGCCGCACGTTTTGATGTATAATTTGTGTGGGTGCTTTCAAATCTGTGGGAGGAGTAGCCGACCGAAAATTTGTACGGAAGAGGAATAATAAGAAGATGCGCACCAGGATAACAATAGTGGCCTCGGGCTCAGCCCGTGCCACTAATGATACAGGAAGACGCTTATATAACATCCAAAAACGCTGGTCAGGGCAGAATGCTGGGCAGGAGCCAGAGGGAAGAGGCAGTCATTACCCGTCTAAGAATCGGATACACCAGATTAAATGAAACACTCCAAATAATGAATAAACATCCAACTGGAGCATGTCAGTACTGTGACAGAAGACAAACAGTTCAGCATGTGCTGCTAGAATGTCAGCAATATGAAGATGACAGGAAAAAACTCAAAGCAAAGTTGCAAAAAAATCAAAGTAGAGCTAACAGTGAGGAACCTTCTTGGGGGAACAGGAAAATAAATAATAAGAGAGCTAATTGAATTTCTTAAAAACCCACGACTTCTAATAAGAATGTTTTTTTGTTGTTGTTGTTGTTTTTTAAAACTAATTTATTTATTATTCCGTATTGCCAATCTTGCTCCACACTCCAGTCCGGTAGGTGGCGGTAATGCACCTGAATGTTGGATGCCAACCACCAAATATATCAACGGAAGAAGAAGATTTTCCCACAATCCACCGGACGACTGCAAGGGCGCCTTTTGCTGGTCTGCATGTCAACAAGAAGGAGAGGCTCGGCTTCATTTACAATATTAATGCATGCGTATAAGACTACGCCAGTTTTGTGGGTCGATACGCCAGTGGTTTTCTACTCTGTTTAGCAGCGTTTTTCATTTCAGGCCGACATGGCACCGTACACCTTAATGGCAGCAGGTGTTAGCCTTCTGGCTAAGTCCTTCAGTGTGCTGTCCTGCACCAGCGCTCTGGCAAGGTACCTAGCCTCCACCTGTTTTACTGTGTTAGCTCACTGCAGCGGCGGTACAGCTAGCTTAGCCCGTTATCTGCGGTTTGCTGTCTACTCATTTTGCGTACGAATCGTGTTTGTATTTTTGGGAGTTGACAAATGTTTTAACTACGGCCATTGTGTTTGAAAAAGTAGCAGTAGGTAGCGTAGAGTGAGTTGGCCGTGGTTGGAATCATGAATTGGAAGCATTACTGTGTGACTCTCAGTGGATTGTTCAGGAGTGGTCCCGGTGATGATCTGAACTACTTTAACTGTTCACAAGCTTTGAGGGTGTTAATGTATCACAAGATGTACAGGGTGATTGTAGTTACCTCAGTAGAAATGTCGTTGTTGCGTGCAAGTAATGCACGTGTGGTTACAACTAGGAAAGGATTAAAATGTTTTTGAACGCTTATCTCCTGCCTTAGTCTTTGTAATATAATTCCTGCACTATTACCTGTCTCTATTGTAATTTAAGTCCTGCTCCATCACCTGTTTCCATTGTAATATAAGTCCTGCACCATCCACTGTCTCCATTGTAATATTAGGTCCTGTCTCTGCTCTGAACGCTGCCTGCAGTTTGTCTGAAAACACTGCACTTCTGTCACATGACTGAGCAGTCAGCGCTTTGTTGTGCTAAGTAGTTCATTTGTTATTTTGCATTTTAAAAAAAAAAAATGCTTTAGTTTTGGTAATTAAAAATTGACTTGTGTAGAATATAGTGATTTTGATGAAATTATACAATTTTAGCACTGTTGTCTCGCAGCAAGAAGGTCGCTGGTTTGCGTCCTGGTGAGGACACCGGGATCTTTCTGAGTAGAGTTTACATGTTCTATTATTTGTGATTCTAAATTGTCCGTCAGGTGTGTATTTAGCGTGCTTGGTTGTCTGTCTCTCTGTGTAGCCCTTTGATAGGCTAGTTACCTGTCCAGGTGAACCTGTGTTCACCCTAAGTCAGCTGGGATAGGCTTCCCACGACCCTAGTGATGATTAAGCGGTGTATAGATAATGGATGGATGGGCGGCTGTAGCTCAGGTGGTAGAGCGGTTGTCCTGTGATCATAAGGTTGGCAGTTTGATCCCCTGCCCCTGGCAGGCAGCACCTTCAATGGCAGCTCTGTCGCCATTGGTGTATGAATGTGTGTGTGAATGGGTAAATAAGTACACATTGTAAAATGCTTTGAGTGCCACTAAGGTAGAAAAGGGGCTATATAACCATTACAGTTTTAGACATATATTCAGTATTTTTTCTGGTGGAACAGTGCATTGCACATGATACATTCACAGTGTCAGAGAATTTAAAATGTAATGATATACTATGTTTCTACTGCTACTGGGTGTAGCAAATGTTGTAAATTTGGCAATTTTTTTTTTAAACACCCACATGACTTTCATGATCAGAATTTCAGAATTTTGGAGTTTCAAGGGTTGACAATTGTAACAATTTTTAGCTTCTGGTGATTTCATGCAGTGTGGCTGTTTTTTTTTTTTATATAAAAAAACTGAGTCTTGGGGTCATTCATAACATACAGGTGATCCTGTAAGCAACCTGTGAATGAAACTGATTTTCATCTCTGCAGTGGATTTTGAAAGGGATTATAAGAGAGCACTTGTGTGTTGGACATCTGTGACTCAGGCGGTAAAGTGGTTGTCACAAGGTTGGTGGTTCGATCCCCTCCACTGTCAAAAGTGTCCTGAACCTGAAGTTGCTCCCGAAGACAGGCAGCACCTTGCATAGCAGCTGTCACGATTGGTGTATGAATGTGTGTGTGAGTGTGTAATGAGAAACACATTGTAAAGCTCTTTGAGTACCACTAAGGTAGAAAGGATATATATAAGTGCAGACTTTTTACCATTTTTAAAATTTACTGATTTGTTGTGTGGACTATGTGATAAAATACTTGATTTAAAAAAAAAATAAAATAAAAAAGCAGTTGTTTGAGGCTGCTACAATATGTTCATTATCATCTGATCTGGCAATGTCTTGAAATGTCAAGAAATAGTATAAATGTCCTTCACAGTCTTCCAGAGCCCAAAGTGATGTCATCAGATGTATTTCTTTGTTTGAATAAAGGCAAAAACCCAAAGATCTTTAGTACTAGATTAGTATGTTCTACCTCCTCTCTAGAAGGCATCATTAAACTGCCAGATTTGTAAGTAGTTTTGTGTAAAGTTCTTTCATAAGTGAGGATCATAGACTGTATGAAAGATGGACTTTGCTACCGTGAAGTCACCCATTGTTTGAGAGAATGAAGCCAGGGTTTTGCTACTTCCTGGTTGACATCTTGGATTTTTGGAGCCAGTGACGCAAAAATCGTCGGAGGGGGGCGGAGCCATAGGAGCAGCGATTGGTCAGACGGATTGAGAGGCAGGCCCTCTCTGCCCGCCCACATTTTCCACCTTCTGCTCGCTTCATCTGTATGGTCGCTGCCAACTGTCAATCAAGCCAGCCACACCCCTTGCCCGCAAAATTTTGACGATTTTTAAAAAATTCAGTATTGATTTATTTTCAGATTGGCCACCTGATCTCTGGACTTGACCATGAAAACTATTTTTTTTTTTTAAAATCCTGAGCTGTAGGAATGTGGTATTTCGTGATCTGTAATCACTTCTTTTCCAATTTATTTCTATGGGAGCCAGGGCTATTTGGAGCCAGGACTAGCGGACAGAGTGATATTGCAGGTTTTTGACACTTCCGGGTTGGCTTCATTTTTCAGGGCCGGTTGCTACGTCCATCTTTTATACAGTCTATGGTGAGGATGGATGGTGGGGTATTTTCTGTATTATTTTGTGCTCACTCTCTTTAGGTTTACCAGTGTCCTACCTGCTGCATATATCAACCCAGTGAGATGTCTAACCTCTCAGGCCAGTGGCCCTCCAAAGCGGCCTCTAAATGGATACATGAGATATGTTCAACAACAGAAGCCTATAGTGACTAGTCTAAACCCAGGTAAATTTGCAACGCTTAAAGCTTTCCTCTCCTTTTTTTCCCCTTTGATTGCTTTAAACATATGAATGTTTTTGGACAGTGATATAAGGCTTTACAGTTATACAGTTATCCTCCAAAATGGGAGGTATGCCCCTTGGGAGTTGTGGCTGAGAACTTTTTGAATTACCTTCATTGAATGTAGTTTACATTTATACCAGTTCTGCACTGGTATGGTAGTAACAGCTTGTACAGCTTAACAATAATCTATGTGACAGAAGAATATAAAAATCATATTGAAATGTAATTTTACAGCATGTGGCTGAGCTAAATCAGTCTAAGTTTTATCTGTCAAGGACTCAATTGATACAATTCTGTTGTCAATTATAACCGTCTTATACTTCTTGCCTTCAGAAATCAAATCAGTGGATATCATTAGGAAGATTGCCCAGCAGTGGAGAACGATGAGCCCAGAGCAGAAACAGGTATTTCCAGTTCACAGTGTAAACTGTATGCCTTTAATTTAAAATCAGAAGAGTGCCATTGATAGAAAGTGGCAAATCATTCTCGGATACTGATAAAGTAAAAAACACATACACACTGTCTTCTCTCGTCATACACATGGATTTTGTCAGTCTGTTGTGACCAGAGTTTGTTTTGGTGTCTCTCTCTTGCAGCCATTTCAGGAAGCCTTTGACCGAGCCAGGGAGCAATTCAAGGTGGACCTCGAGCGCTACAAGGCCCGACTGACTCCAGCACAGCTCCAGCAACAATCCCTGGAGAAAAGGCAGAGACTGGCCAAGAGAAGGGCCATTCGAAAGAAGAGGGTGAGAAAAATAGTGGTTTGATGATTTCTGTGTTTATCTTAGGCCTGTGGTAGAGAGAGTGATCCACTTGGGCAAGACAATACACCCAAAGCTGCTCCTGCTGGGTATGCCAGTGCCTTGCATTGCTGTTCAGCGACCATTGATGTGGGAATAGGTGAATTGTATAGCTTTTTGTTGGTGAAGGTGGAAGCGTGCTAAGTGCAATTCATTGACCAGATCCATAATATCTAGACCTTGCTCACACTAAATAACCCTGCCACCCCAGCCCCCCACATTGCAGCAAAGGGTGGGTCAGGTTGAAGCGTTGTTGGGCTGCCATCAACTGGAGCTTTGAATGTAGTGTATTTAGGGAGTGAAACATTAACTGATGTCTTATTTGAAGCCCAGCCAGCATTCTAAGTAGTGAAGCTCCTTACAACTTTTGTATGTTTTGTGTGTGTTTGTTTTTTAAGGAGTTAACCAACCTGGGGAAACCCAAACGTCCTCGCTCTCCTTTCAACATCTTCATGTCGGAGCACTTTGAGGAGGCCAGAGGAGTCACCACCCAGGTAAGGAACCACAGCGGTTCAAATTTTTTGCACAAAGCTGACCTGAGGTCCCCACTGATGGTAAATGGTCACTTATATAGCGCTTTTATCCTAAGCGCTTTACAGTGTTTCTCATTCACCCATTCACACACACATTCATACACCAATGGTGACAGAGCTGCCATGCAAGGTGCTGTCTGCCATTGGGAGCAACTTCGGGTTCAATGTCTTGCCCAAGGACACTTCGACTGTGGAGGGGCGGGGGATCGCCAACCCTGCGATTGGAGGACAACCCACTCTACCACCTGAGCCACAGCTGCTGATAGTAATACTAAAGCATAGACCAGCTAGTAACTGGTTTCTCTCCAGGTTCTCCGGCTTCCTCCCACAGTCTATATCATGTTGAGGTTAATTGGTGATTCTAAATTGTCTGTAGGTATGAATGTGAGTGTGCTTGGTTGTCTGTCTCTAAGTGTAGCTCTTTGATAGACTGATTACCTGTCCAGGTGAACCTGCCTAACAACACTAAGAAAAGACTTCATGTCAAATTAATAATTAGTCAGCTGCATCAGCGTGATGTGCATCATGACTAATTCAGGTCAGTATTTTTAGAAAAATGCTCCATCCCCTGTGTCAGAGTCTTAACTCTGAGCTTAGGGTGAGTAAAGGTAACTTTAAGACAACTGACGCATTGCTTCAAAGTAATGCACAAGTGGTTAGCTAGCGATGGATTAAAATGTCCTTTAAACCTCAGAACCTCAAAAAGTTTCTGGACATTTTTTGCTCCTCTCTCATTTTTCCTTTCTTTGGGCTAATTTTTCACTGCAATATAAAGGTCTGCACTTGTATGGAAACAGCACAACTATGGCTAGAAGTAGAGAGAACTCAAAAATATCTTCTGGGCAGTATGACAAAATGAAAAAAATCATAGAAAAACCCATGACATTGGATTTTTTTTGTTTTTTTTTGTCTTTTGTTGCATTAAAAACAAACCTGGAATCAGCATAGACAACATAGTTTATCTGTATAAACTGGGTACCCAACTCTGGAAAGATGTTTCACTATGCTGAATGTGTCTTCCAGTAAACGCCTATGTAGACTCTTTTTGAGCATGCTGCATTTGTTTTTTGTAATATCAATTATTTTTTCTCAACAATAATGAATAGAATGTCACCTCTGATGTTGTTTCAGGCAAAGATGAAGTCATTGTTGGAGGACTGGAGGAATCTGTTCAGCCATCAGAAACAGGTTGGCCACGCAAGCACAAACATCTTTATTCTTGGAGTTCTAAGGCCAATCAAGCATTGTTCAGTGTTGAGATCTCTGTTCATTCCTCATCTCAGGTCTACATACAGCTTGCAGAAGATGACAAAATTCGCTACAAGAATGAGATGAAGTCGTGGGAGGACCACATGGTGGAGATTGGACGAGAGGACCTGATCCGAGAACAGACCCTGTCTGCCAAGAAGAAATCTTCTGCTAAAAGTCCAGCAGCTAAGAAAGGAACAAAGAAAGCTAAAGCTACAGCGGTAAAGAAAGCCAGTGAAGCAGGAAAGTCAAAAACAACCAGGAAGACAATGAAAAGTACCTCTGCAAAAACTGTCTCCCAAAGGTCTACCAAGAAGAAATGAGATGTATTTATGTTGTGAGACCAGAGCGAAGAGATATGTTTGTGACGGCTGAATACAGGAGTTCTGATGAGCCTGGGCTCTGCTCTCCGTTGTTTTTTAAAGTCACAAAGTCCCCAGTTCTAATGAATGCTCTTCATGTCCAACATGCCAAAGTTTTCACAGCTTCCAGACAGATTAAGATAATTTCACATAACATCAGTGTTTCTGTTTATTGAAACTTACAGCAAATAAATCCAGAAAACAGGATTTTTTTTAAGGTACATTATTGTCACTCCATCTTCAAATACACAGAAAAATACTGTAGATACTTTTCAATTTAATGTTTGGAAGGTCTTTGTGGCGCTGAGTGTAACCACAGTATATAAGGTTATGTTGCTGTCCCAAAACAATCCCACCTTTTTTCTATTTTTGGTCATGTCATACAGAGTAGTAATTTAAAGAATATGTCTGGTGTTACTCTGTTTGGTTTTTTGTCAAGAAATCCATGGAAAGTCCAAAACCAGTATTGTTTTTGTCTGTCTCTGTAGCTAGACTTCTTACGCAGTCTGTTCCAACATAAGCATCTTTCAGGTATACAGTTTGGTTTTGAAATGGTCACTTTTATTAAACGGGACAGATAGATCCATATTTGGAAGTGCATCCTTAAGATAGCAGAATGATGCTATATGTGGGATTGAGTCAATATGAAGGGCAGATACACTGATGTTACAATAGGGAGGTCAAAGTGTGGAGAGAGAAGCACATCATCAGTTTTGGGCTTTTCAGTTTGATGACTAGATCTATTGACTTTGTTCTCAGTAGCTTTCAAAAAGCAATGGGCTAATTGGTTGCAAAATTCTAGACTGTACTTCATCTGACAGTACCTCTGTTCCCGTAATTGCAGCCTGACTGAATTCTTTGTATCAGCACTGGTATCAGTGTAGCATAAGCTTCATTTGCAACCTCAAACTGTGAAATCCTGCCATTTGTCATTTACGTCGCAAGGACCATTATCAACTGACACTTGAGTTCCAATTTTGCATGGCTCCAGTGAAGTTTTATATGTAAGATGCTTTTTGCTCTGTTAAAAGCTGAAGAAAAACTGTCAGGGTTGATAATAAAATGAATTTTTATAATTTCCCTCCGATGAGAAGTGCCAGTTTGCCCTGACTTCACTGTGTGAAGCGAGTCATTTGCTACATGTCTCAAACATGAACGAGCTTTGGCGAATGTCAATTAATCCTAATATCAACCATCTTTCTGGTCTGCCATTGTGACCAACACTGGTTAATTATTTTTAGTGTTAACTTTGGTTTGTAGAATGTATTTAGTGTTACCATATTCATACTGCATTTAACAAAAGTGGTTTACTATGTAGTGTGGGTTTTCTGAATAAACATTTACATACACTTCTCTACTGAATGACCACTGATGGTGCTAAAAAAGTTTCACATATTCTTAAAAATGGACAAAATAAAGCAGCAATTAGTTTTTTATGTTTTTTTTAAATTGTACTATATTATTGTAATATCATTATGTCGGCTTACCTTGTGGAATGATTATATCATAGTATTGTAAACACAACAAAGTGTTTAAATTCTGTCAACACCTGTAAAGTGGAGGCTGCTCTATACATACAATGCAGTAGGACAGTTGAGCTGACAAATACTGCTTAAAACTAAACACCCAAAATAGTGTTATATCTGCTTCAATCATAGTTGGTTTACAGTTTGTAAACGCTGACCAAGGGGTTAGCGTTTGTTATCCCAATTAAACTTTAAAGACTACCTTGACAATAACGTACGATAATTGCTGCATTTTTTTTAACCCTGTCATGTATGAACTGTTCAAAAAAAAAAAAAAACTGACACTTGAATTTAATTAGTATTTTCGTCAATACAAAATAGTTTTCAATGAAGTGTGAGCTCAGGCTTCACACAAGAATATGATTCGAAGCCATGAAGAAAATTAAAAGTAATCTTTATGTACCAACCATCTGCAGAAGTCTGTTTGTCAGACATTACTTAAAATGGTAAAAGGTTTCTGAAACTGTAATGGAAAGGTTTTGACGATAAAAAACACATTTAATGGCTAAAATATGTTTGTAGACGTCTGCGTCTTTTCACTTGCTTGTTGTTGAAGGACCCTAAGGCTATAAAAAGGCCAATGAGTTAGAGAAGCTAAATTTAGGCCACATTTAAATAAGTACATACATAAGGATAAATACTGGAACATATTTGTATTTATGTTATTGTTTTTTTATTTTTAACGACAGACATTTTTGTCTTAACATTATTACATAGTGATAAGTACTGCTGTGTAAAGAAGTTAAGGATCTAGTCTGTAGTTAATATAAAACCTTATACATCACAGCAACTGCAACTGCAGTTGACCCGAAACAAGAAGCTGATGGAAGAGACATCCATCCATCCATCCATCATCTATACACCGCTCTGTCCTGTGTAGGGTGGAGGGGGGCTGGAGTCTGTCCCAGCTGACTCAGGGTGAAGGAAGAGTACATCCTGGACAGGTCACGAGGAGACATTTAAAAAAAAAAAAAAGCTACAGCAACTACCACTGTCACAATCAACATCCACTAAATACAAATGTTACACATTCCAATGTCATCAGGTACATCAGTGCATTGTTGACCCAGTCTCGAGCCTCCTGCTGTGCTGGTGAGTGTGGAAGTGGCAGTGTTCTCCCACTAACAAGTCCTTCTTCCACTGACATGCATTTAGGTGACAGCATGACAGTCCATGTGGATCAGCGGATCAATACCATATATTTGCCAGATCACATTTTTCATCTTTCCATCTCTGCAGTGTCTTCATACCCAAAAGATTACAAAAAAATAACCACTGAATTGTTTTTCAAACAGGATTATCAAATAGATTTATTTCAAAGATTTTACAGAAAAAATATAAAAGTAAGTTACCTTGATGGTAACCTTTATAGCTGCCCTTAAACCCTCATAGCAGAGACGTGACTGTCATTTTACTCCCTCCACAGTGATCTGTTGGTGTTGTAACCAAGCAACACACCCCATCAGATTAAATGAATCGCTCCTTGTGTGACAGAGTCTGTAATATCACCTCTGCTCAGTCCTTGTGCAGTATTTGAGATTAGGGGCCCTGTGGCTGCTGTGTTGAAGCTTGTCCCAGTAAAGCCTGGAAATCAGGAGATAAGACCAGTTTGTGGTGTACGTTTCCCAACACCATCATGTCTCCAGTTCGCCCCTCAGACAGACGCACAGACACCAGTTGCTGCGTAAAGAAGGAAAGAACTTTCACATACTGACACAGGAGTGGCAGTGTTCCCCAATATGACACAGTGCTAATAATTTGCTACTGCAATAGTTTTTAATAATGTCATAAAAAAAAATGGAAATGTGGTCTCTCCACTGCTCTACTAAAAATAATAAAGGCAAAAAAAGACATATTTGCCATACTTTATTTGGAATTTACACACAGTAAATAACTTACTGCAGTCCATTCAGGCCACTGCATGGTTCACACTGTGTCTGGGCTCTGTGTAAATCAAAGGTCTTTCAATGTCCACGGTCATTTCTTCACTGTGGTATTGATGTAGAATAAAAGTATGGATGACTTGGGTAGATGACAAAAGTCATACGTACCCTTGTTGACACATCGGCATGAATTGGCTTTTACACATGGAAACAAACTCAAAGAACCCAGTACCATAAATAAGCTGTAGAAGTATTGGATGAAAAATAATTTTTGAATTGTTTTCACATTTCTTTTAGACACTCATTTTAGACTTTTGTAGTTTAAGGAAAGAAATAATTAGGTATGGGATATTTTTAATTTGAGTCAAAAACCACATTAGCTTTCATTTCTGTTTTTCATTTATTTGTGTTCAAAGTTTTCTGCTTTGGTTTTTGAAATTTTAGGGAAGTGATCTCCGAATTAAGGCTGCAAGGTGACTTAGTGGTTAGCACTGTCACCTCACAGCTAGCAGATCGCCGGTTCGCGTCCCGGAGAGGACGCCCGGGATTTTTCTGCATGGAGTTCTCCCCGTGCAGCGTGGGTTCTCTCACGGTTCTGCGGCTTCCTTCCACAGTCCAAAAGCATGTTGAGGTTAATTGCTGATTCTCTCTGTCCCTCTGTGTAGCCCTGTGACAGACTGGTTACCTGCCAGGTGAACCTGCCTTCACCCTAAGTCAGCTGGGATAAGCTACAGCCCCCATGACCCTAGTGAGGATTAAGGTGTCTAGATAATGGATGGATGGATATCTGAATTACTTAATAATTCCAACTTTTTGTCTAATTATCCAATCAGAATATGTTTCTTAATGAGAGCATAAAAAAGTTCAGCTATTTTCAATAAACCCTGATGGAAATCTTTTAGCTTTTTTTTTTAACTGTTTCATAAAGCAGCTCTAAAAGTTATAAAGGCCATTTATGTTAAAAAAAAAACAAAACACGGGAATGTTCATGTGAAGCCAGAGATGTTCAGAAAAACACTTTTAGGGCTGTAAACACTAATACAGATTTTATTCTGAACAGATATTCTCTTCCACTGCACTAATTAATATCCATTTTATTTTCGAATTCTATCTGATGCATTTTTAGTTGTTAGATTTAGTTTCTTAGCTTATTTATGATTTTATTGTATATTGCACTTATTTTTTTAGCACCATTGTTACTTTTCTATAATGCAATATTTTAATTATTTAATTTCATTTTATTAATAAATATGTTGTAAATATTTTATGTTATTCATTCTTGGCTGTAATTCCCAGGGTTTCCTCAGTGGGAGCCCTCTGCATTGGGAGCAGCTGCTGACTCTGGCTGCTGTGGTGCAGGCTTTAGGTCCGCCCTTCCCTGGCAGGGTGAAGGGCCCACTCCATGGCCTCGGGGCGAGGTGGGGTGGGGGATGGGGGGGCCTGTGTGTTGTTTTTTTTTGTTTTTTTAATGTTCTAAATGTTGAAATCTTGAAACAGAATTCAACTTCTCTATATTAACAGGCTACAGACTGTATGCTTTCAAAGTAGCTGGAATAAAACTACTACTCAAAAAGCCAACTCTAGATCCAGGTGTTTTACCAAACTATAGGCCCATATCCAACCTCCCTTATATTTCTAAAATTCTTGTCTTCCTCTTTTTCTCTTCCTCTCCCTCTCTTCTCCCTCTCTCTGCCTTTCTCCTTCTTGTGCACCCTCTCAGTCACTCCAGCCGTGCTCAGCCCGCCTGATTGCAGGTATTGGAGACAGCTGTGGGGGATCAGCTCACCTGCATTCAGTCACCCAACTCCTGCTATAAAGCTCAGCTCATTCCTTCACACACTGCCAGACCATAGACGTTCATGGCTAGTGTTTCTGCTGGTCCCCGCTCTGTCTCCTGCCTGCCTGCTTTTCCTGAGCCGCCTTCTTTCATCTACATAATGTAAAAATCAGGAACATCCTGCCTCAGAGTGATGCTGAGACGCTAGTCCATGCATTTATAACTTCTAGACTGGACTATTGGAATTCCTTATTATCAGGATAGAATTTAAAATCCTGCTTCTAACATATAAAACTCTGAATGATCAGCTCCATCTCATCTTAAAGACCTTATTGTACCACATCATCCTAACAGAGTCCTTCGTTCTCAGACTGCAGGTCTACTTGTGGTTCCAGAGTTTCCAGAAGTAGAATGGGAGGCAGAGACACCATCTTTACTTTAAGATTAGGCTTAAAACTTTCCTCTTTGATAAAGCTTATAGTTAGAGTTGCTCAGGATCACCTGAACTGTCCCGTAGCTATGCTGCTACACACGTGGACAAAATTGTTGGTACCCCTCGGTTAATGAAAGAAAAACCCACAATGGTCACAGAAATAACTTGAATCTGACAAAAGTAATAACAAATAAAAATTCTACGAAAATTAACCAATGAAAATCCGACATTGCTTTTGAACCGCGGCTAAACAGAATTATTTTTAAAAATAAACTCATGAAACAGGCCTGGACAAAAATCATGGTACCCTTTAACTTAATATTTTGTTGCACAACCTTTTGAGGCAATCAGTGCAATCAAATGATTTCTGTAACTGTCAATGAGACTTCTGCACGTCTCAGCAGGGATTTTGGCCCACTCCTCATGAGCAGACTGCTCCAGCTGTCTCAGGTTTGAAGGCTGCCTTCTCCAGATGGCATGTTTCAGCTCCTTCCACAGATGTTTAATAGGATTTAGATCAGGGCTCATAGAAGGCCACTTCAGAATAGTCCAGTGTTTTCCTCTTAGCCATTCTTGGGTGTTTTTAGCTGTGTGTTTTGGGTCATTATCCTGTTGCAAGACCCATGACCTGCGACTGAGACCAAGCTTTCCGACACTGGGCAGCACATTTCTCTCTAGAATACCTTGATAGTCTTGAGATTTCATTGTACCCTGCACAGATTCAAGACATCCTGTGCCAGATGCAGCAAAGCAGCCCCAGAACATAACAGAGCCTCCTCTGTGTTTCACAGTAGGGACAGTGTTCTTTTCTTGATATGCTTCATTTTTGAGTCCGTGAACATAGAGCTGATGTGCCTTGCCAAATAGTTCCAGTTTTGTCTCGTCTGTCCATAGGACATTCTCCCAGAAG